ATAATAAATATATAATATAAATAAATATAAAATATAAATAAATATAAAATATAAATAAATATAAAATATAAATAAATATAAAATATAAATAAATATAAAATATAATATAAATAACGGATACATACGCTCCTCATTGTTGTGTGCATTCAATGGTCTTTCACTAGTCTTGTGGTACTTCCGATCACTGTTTGACTTAACAATTGAAGTGATGATTGTATGACACATGCGATGCGATTCTTGTAGTGATCACTGTTTGCTTCAAATATTATGATTATTATTGTACTTAAAGTGTGACCGACTTTACGCTTATATACCCGTACTGTAAGGTCAATGTCAACCAGAAAAGGAGGTAAAGGAGGGATCAGTGCATCGCTGTAACGCATTGTTAACATTAGTGAATCAATGAGAAGACATCAAATGGCAAACCCTCTCTTACTATACAACCATATAATTGCTTTAACTGTTACTAACTTTATATACCGTATGTAATTCATTTTTATTCAATTAATATACTAATATATTTATAAATACAGTCAAATTATCAAAAAATTGTATATATTTAATGATACAACTTTTATCACCTGTATATTATACAGTGTATAGATATAAAATATCACATCATTAATCCGTTAGACAAAAATTAGTTAATATAACGCTAACTAAGTTAAACCAATACTTTTAAAATAATTTATCATAATTTATTAATATATATCTACTATTAAAGTGATATTAAATATATTCATATATTGATTGCTATATAATTCAATTTATTATTAAGTATTAAGTATCAATCGAGTATTATATTCTATTAATATTTATAAGTATATTATATAATATCTATATTTTATTATAAGTATTTAACATAAATAAAATAATATATTGAAGTTTAATAAGTAAATTAATAAATTGAATTTAAATTGTAATCTTATTATATTAATAAATTAATATTTTTTATTTATAAATTTCTAATAATTAAAATAATAAATTATTTTATAAACAAATTATTCTATGTAATATAAAATATTTTTATTAACAAATTAAAATATATAAAAACTAATATTTGATAAAAAAATTAATTGCATTTGAAATATTTTTTAAAAATTGCACAGTATATTACAGCATAATAACGCTCTTGTATATAGGTATACCTGTATAGTAAATAAATACTGTACAATATTATAAAAAAATAAAATCAAAATAACTATTATATAATAAGAATTCGACTATATATTTAAAATTATATATTGAGATCAATGGAGTAAAATATTATTAAAATGCATGAATAACTCCGAGTTATTGTCGATTTAAAGACAGTCATGTATTAAATTAATTTTTCATATCAATAGTAATAGATATTTTAGTTAATAAATTCATATATTGAATATATCTGCATAAGTTTAATATTATAATTATTTATTAAAATCAGTTTTAAAATGATGGTAAAAGTTTTGTAACTTTGTATAAATTTTAAATTTTTAAATAACTTTTATTAAACACAATGAATCAAAATTTTTATTTAAGGTGCGTTTGTTTGTGTTAAACTATTTTATAATTTAATATAAATATTAAATGTCTGATTTATATCCTTAGTTAAAATAGTTATTTAAATAAAACTAAAATAATCAAAATAAATATATTATTTTAAAAATAAATATAGCTATTAAATATTGTTTTTGTTAATAGTGAAGAAATTTATATGATATTTATATATTGAATATACTGTTAGAATGTAATCAAAAAATATGTCCTAATTATAATTTAGTCATTGGATCTCTAACCCCACCCTCTCTTAACATTTATTTTAAGTCATTAATCAAAAAAAATATGAAAATAAAATTTACATGATGACAATATATTTTGAAAACTATTTTAGCACCAATTATAATATAATTAAGTTCACAAGTTTAAAAACTATAAATATAATTTAGCATTTTGTATATCAATTTTAAAAATAAATAATTTAATTTAAATCCATTATATTATTAAATTAATATCACGAATTTTTATGTTTAACTATTTGTATAGAATTAAACAGTAAACTGAATACAAATAAAAAATATAGTATTTCTTTAATAAAATATAAAAAGATATAATACAGTTTTAAAAATTGTTTAAAAATGTAAAATGTTAATTAATAAATGTATTTAAGTTAGTATTTTTGCTTATTTTATCGATTTATTCAAATAATTTATTATAGTTATCACTTGTTTATATTAATTTATACAGTATTTGAAATTAACGTTATATTAACTGTAAATGACTTATAATTTAAAAATATAGCAATTGTTTATTACAAAAAAATTGATCAATACTTGAATTTGAGTTATTTATACAAATAGATAATTGATATGTACTTTGATTATAGTCTTCATTCATATTTAGTGGAAATGAGATCTCAGAGACATTTGAGTCATATATTAGTCAATTGTCGTACAATTGCTATACAAATAGGTTTTATGAGACATTAATCTATATATTGAGTGCTGACTATAACTAGGAATAGACCACAAAAAGCGTAAGATTTGAGTGACTCTTAACCAATGTTTAAGTGCTTTGAAAAATACTTTTTTAGTAAATCATTAATTTTTTAAACTTAATATTTATGATTTAGTTGACTATAAGCTTATTATATAACAGTGCTTACAATGAGTACATTTGAGAAACGACTCCAATCACTGACTCTCATGCATATCAAGTGAAGACAACTTTTTGTATAAATTTATTATTATTATTATATAACTGTTTTATAAGGGATGACACTATTGACGGAAGATTACTCAGAGAACTCATATATACACCACTAGTCATGCATTTCTACAAAATCGATGCATTTTCTCACAAATTACTCAAAAACCGTTATATTTTTATTTCATTTTTTATTATATCAACTAAATTTTAAAATAAAAATGTTTAAAACTATAATTATAGTATAGTCTACCAATAAATTGTTTATTATAATTGCCTCAAATTCATAACACACTTCTCCAATTAAGTCCTATATAGACTGTATGTGTGTATAATATTCAACAGTATATACCATATTATAAATTATATGCAAATGAATGTCTATTTTTGTCGATATATAAACTATTTTTCATTTTTTTAAARAGTACTCTACGACTAACTGACTATTTATGTTTGCATTGTTTCTATTAATTCATAGCAAACAAAGTTTTTATTTATTTATATTAGCTTATAATGATTGCAAATAAATGTCAAACAATTAAATAAAAATTATTTGAGAAATTCAAGTGCAAAACAAAAAAGTGATTATTTTTATACAAATATTATTTATATAGCAATTAAAGTATAGAATATTTATGTGGAATGTGGCCAATATATCGACAATATTTGTAATTTGAAAATTGACACAAATATTTAGGAAACATTTGTTAAGTATTAGTCATTTATTTCCAATAARTACTTCTTCTTAAATATTTTCATWAATCATATATCATATTAACATTGTATAACATTGTATACTAACATATATTAAATCAAAATATACGTCGTTATTATGTATATTAAATTTATTAAAAATATCAAATTGATAATATATATATATATATATTTTTAAAATAATWCAAATTAATCATAAAAACAATTTATTATTTGAAAACAATATTTATTTTATTAGATATTTATTAACTATTATTTTATTACATTACAATTACAGTATTTACATATAAAGTTAATAAATAAGCAAACTTAACAAATTTTAATTAAGGCTATACACAAAACAAATKTTACAAACATAATGTATTTGATATAAATGATTAAAAATTAATGTTATTTTCAAGAAAATTGTTATAGAAGTTATAGTTGTAATATTTTTTTAACTAGATTTTTATCATGGTTTTCAATATAAATAAAAAAATTGTTATAATTGGATTTTATATTCATTATATTCGAGATTTTTATTAATTATAAAATATTCACACATTATTTCACTGAAAAAGTKACTCAAAAAATTCATATTTTAAATTATTTTTACAAAAAAACAATTTTTTTTATTATACACAATATAAAAATTAATTTCAAGTCTTTGAACTTTAAGTTAAATATTTTAAAAGTAGTATTGCTTAGAAAATACTCTAATATTGATATGCATAAAAAATCTAATAATTTCAATGATTGTAAATTCACATTATTATAAATTAATTAATTATCAAATGTCTCACATTTTATTAAAACTACTGATTGTCTTTAAACTGATAAAAAATTTATATTAATTATATGTCAAAATAAATCTGATATGACATTAAGTAAATCGTTGGTCGATTGTATTGTTAATAATTAATAACAGGGAATCAAATTTCTTTATTAAATTATATAGAAATCTAATTCAATGTTTAATTTTCTTCAATTATTTGTTTTTTATTAAAGCATTTATTATAATGTTGTCCTAAAAAACCGGTTATATTTTTAACTATTTGTTTGTTTGTTGAACTAAATGACTAAATAATAGAAGCTATCAATTAATTAATTGTGATATTCATATAATATGAATATTATGTAAATGAAGGGCGGATTCAAATCACAAATAATTTGGTCAAAACGTTACTATTTTATATAAATTTGTTTGCAATTTTTAAAAGTTAAATTTAGTTTTAAAAAATTACAATAAACTGAATTATTTTTTATAATTTTTTGTAAAAATGGCACTGGTCAAATGTATATTTTTAAATATTCATAAAAGTGCTATTCTTTTATACTGTATAATCGTCATCTATTTATTAATATTACTAAATAATAATTAATATAAAATTTCATATTGTTTTTCAAAATTTAATTAGAAATTAAAAATAACATATAGATAGAGATAATGTAAAAATCTAAAATAAACAATTACCATAATTACGATAATAAAACAAATTAAATGATTAGATTACTAACTTAAATGAGTATACTTTTATAAATACTTATATAATATTATTTATACATAATTTCAACAATTATAATATTAAATATATATCTATATTTGATCAATAATGTAAATTCAAATAATAAAATTTATATACCAATAATTGATTTAATGTGTGTGCGATGCGAAGCTATGAATGATTGTCTTTATAACAACAAATTAACAACAATTGCTTACTATTGGCACAAATACCTATAATTGAGATACTGATTGCTTTAATGACTATCACATATATCCGGTGCTGAGATCGTCCTCAAGCCATGCAGGTATCGGATGGTGAAGTCGAGTCAATAATTTAGATAATGCAATGTTATTCGACAAATAAAAAGAGTGCAAAAACTTTTGAGCCAACGGTTCCATCGGTGGATATATTCTACCCTTACTTCTTCCCAAACATTTTGTGCTATTCATATGAACCACTTGACAAAAGAAACCTTTTTTTGGATCAAATTTCAAGTGTTGACTGTAATCAAAAAAGGGCTCAATTTTTAAAAAGTTTTGCAATCTATTCATAACAAAGACTGGATTTGCTTTGAGCTCTTCGCCATCGATAATCATTATCTGTAATCAAATTTTAATATCTTTACTATAACTTAATGTATGTCTAAATTAATTATATAATCACCTGTTGTGGCGAATAGTGTGTAAGCCATCGTTCAAGATGTTGAGCATAAGTGCCCGGATTTAAACATCGATTGCGAAGCTCTCGCAAAAGTTTTGGCGACTTTTCATTAGCAGTAATCACATCATAAAATGAAAAATTAAGAGCAACTGAGCTCTTATGGGCTTTCATGTGATAATACCATGAATAGGCTCTTTTGATTGGACTGACCAGAATGGCCACAATCTTTGCTGTGGGAAGCAATGCGTGCGCTCTTTTTGGTACTAACTCTCCATCAAAATAAGTCGCACTCTTCTCAAACAAATAGCTGGGACTCGAGTTCTTAGGCACCGGAAAGAAGTTCATATACCAGTCGAGACCCTTATAATAATTTTTTCCATTAAAAAACTGAATTTCTTCAAAGGTCTCAGGACTCGGATAGTTGCTGACGATTGTCGGATGCATTGATAAAAAAGTATACAAAGCAGTTGAACCAGTCTTTTGTGGTCCAATCACTAAAAACTTGGGCAACTGATCACAGGATTTAGTGGACGACCAAATGGCGTGATGTCTCTTATCATTGCATGGATTCTATAAAAAAAACAAATTTTATAATTAATAATTAGTTTTTATAGTAATTTCCCTAATTATTAAATACAAACCATCCAAATAGGATCGGTTTCTTCAGGATAAAGTTTAAAGTATTTAGTTGCCAATTGATTGGGTGGTAATGTATAAAGTTGTAGATTAGTCCAACACTGGACAAACTTTATTACTGACTCAAACGTGTAAAGAGCCAAACGATCGTTACCATAGTTTGATAAATGTGTCATAAATACGTTTATCTAATAATTATATTAAATTACAATAAATATAAAAACAAATTTCAATTACAATTAATAAATTATTTAAATACCGGATTTAATATAAATGAATAGAAGAGTTCTCCGCCACGAATACTATTCTCCAAACGATGCCTTCCGTTGGGGTATTTGTCGATAAAAATAGTGTGAGTATAGAGACCACATGTTTGTCGCGGTAATACCTAAATAACAATCAAATAATTATAGTATATATATATATATATTAAATTCTAATATATTTAATTAATATAAAAGTATTCAATTAAACCATAATTCCTCTGTGAATAAATCCACGTCTTAATCGTGCGGGTCGTAAATGCGGGTATTCCTCAGTACTCGTTACCCGTATATTCCAGATCTGCTTCCAGGCGTCATATAGTGGTTCATGGACTGGATAGACACCCGAATGATGCGGAGCTATTGAATAACCCGAATCTATAGGTATGTTGTGTTTCTATATTTGCAAAACATATTATATTTAGAGAAATATTAAATTAAAATATATTTATAAAACCTACCTGAGCAAATTCCTTATTAGCAATCATCTCATTTTCTAAAATCGTTATATTATCATAAAGATGTGGCTGAGTGTGGGAAAACATATGACAAAACCACCAAAATTTATCGACATTTTCTAATAATATTTAAATTTATATTATTATTATTTACTGATAAAATTATTTATCACAAACAATAAATTTAACAAACATATAACGCCCTAAAAGTTATAAAATGTAAAAATATATTCATTATATATTCATTACCTAAGAGAAGGTCGTCGCCATAATTTTCTTCAGTATATCCCTTGTGATAATATTTTCCAGAAAATCCTAAATTAAAACGAAATCCTGGAATAAGTAGATTCAGACGTCTTTGAAAGTCAAGCAATTCTAAGACATCTGATCTCTTCATTCGCGTTCCTTTTTCGCCAACAAATATGTCGTCAATATCTATGAGAAGGTATCGTTGAAGAGGAAGAATAAGCTTTCCGTGAGATAAAAATGAAATGGAATCGAGAAGAAGTAATTTATTGATCCAAAATGTCAATCCATTGCCAAACAATACTCGTTGTATTCCATCATATAATCCGTGGTCCTAATTAATAATTACATAATTATATAATAATTACATAACAAATTGCAAATTATACTAATACTTGAATAACAGTAGTCATTAATTGTTTTTTATAAATAAAATTGTATTCATCATTATTTAAATCATCATTCAAATAGTACTCCAACTCGTGCTGTAGAGACGCCTGACCTAAAGGCTGATATGAGGTGTGGTTTGAATGAAAGACAACCCAATCCTGACCCGGAATGTTACCGAAGTGCACTTCACCCGCTCGGGTTAGTCTTAATACAGGAGATGATGGGCTCACTTGATAATCTCTAATTGAAACACCGGTATCGATATGCAATGGAAATCCTTTCAACTGGATATCAGTTAACTTTTCGTTGGTTTGTTGAACGATACCGATTATACCGACACTATATTGTCGGCAATATTTGTCCAGTAATTCTCGATTCCATTTATTCATATTTAAGTATTTGTTGTAATTTTCAAACATAATCACCGCAAACCTTCCCTTATCATTGTTGGTCAATAGCGGTAAACTTTTGCTAACAGTTTCTACTTTAAACCTAAATATACAAAAAAAACTTATAAATACAAAAATTTCTTAAAATAAAGACTCACTTAAATCGTGTCGATTCTAAAAACTCTATCAATTGTTTGCCAAGTTTTGAGTACTGGGTCTCAACAAACAGCAATATCTTTGGCTCCAAACGGTATTGTAGTTTGGATTCATGTTTATTGGCCACAAATCGATGTAGTGATGGTCGGAACAGATCTTCATTTGTATAACATTTAAACTTAGGTTTTGGAGGCAMTCTTACCATTCTTCGAGATAATTAAGATTTTTAGTCAGAATTTATATTTCATTCAATCAAATCAATAACAAACCCATGAAATGAATAGCTGTCCATAAGATGAGATAATATGAAAAGAGTGATAATTGAGAAGAGAACAGATATAAAGAGCCATTGTTTAAGTGAGTATTGATTAAACCGAAACCATTTGGTTGTCGACCCATTCTTCCAGGTCTTGGACTTTCGTTTTTCTTTTAAAACACTTTCAAATAACATAACTATCAATATCTTCGTTTGATTTAATGACAAACAATTGGTCACAAATGACATTCATTTTTCATCAGTCAGACGACTATTATTAGTTCATCAATGAATGGGCTCTTCATTTCAATGAACATCTGGACATTGTTTCAAAACTAAGTACTAATTGATATGAAAACAACAAATCAATAATTATTTGAAAATCAATTAATGTTTTTTCAAAAAATTACTTTATTATCAAAACTTACATAAATTCAATGTATTTGACTATTATATGCAAATTGTATGATAAATACAATCAATATTTGAATCAATAGATAATTAAATCAATTGTCAATCAAATTGTTTGATTTGATGGCAAAGTGATTGTCAATCAATGATGTGATCRACAAATGTCTGTAAATGTATGGCACTGATGGACATCAATGGACATCAATGGTCATCAACACAACTGTTAAGTGTTGACCACAAGAGTTGACACAATTGACACAAACATTGCATTTAAATATCAATTAACTAACAGTTAGTCAATCAGTACATGACTTACGCCATACTTGACAACAATAATTGTCCGATAATTACCCGATATATCATCGAAACGGGTGTTAAATAATAGTCATTCATATAATAATAAAATGTTATTTAAGTTATAATATGCTATCAATTGATATGATTTGAAATGATTTTCAAAACTAAAATCAATTCATTAATTAATTGATTAATAAAATCAATTCAATTCATCTCTACTGTTATATCAAGCGTTGAGACCTCTATTTGTTTACACTATAATTGCAACACATGTTTGTTGTAAAGTCTATGATATTTATTGATAATTGTTTACTCAAGAGATCGGATCCAGTCATTGATACGATGGAAGTTCCGCCCAATCACTGTCCGGGCATTGAGTCGTCAAACGCGGGCAAAGTAGACGCGTGTGAGGGCTGTCCAAACCGAGGTCTATGCGCTTCGGGAGAGGCGAAGACAGGACCTGATCCTGTTGTGACCGAAATCGCCGACCGACTAAAGACTATCAAACATATTGTATTAGTTATGTCCGGAAAGGGAGGCGTTGGTAAAAGTACGGTATCGACACTATTGGCCAGATATCTGGCTAAAGATAAGACAATTAATGTTGGTTTACTCGATATTGACATTTGCGGGCCATCGATACCAAAGACAATGGGAGTCGAAGGCGAAGAAGTCCACCAATCAATGTCCGGTTGGTCACCGATTTATGTGACGGACAACTTATCTGTMATGTCTTGCGGTTTCTTATTGGGTTCGGCTGACGATGCGGTCATATGGAGGGGACCGAAGAAGAATACAATAATTAAACAGTTTCTCAATGATGTAGACTGGGATCAACTCGAGTATCTCGTTGTGGACACACCTCCCGGCACTTCAGATGAACATTTATCTGTTGTGTCATATCTGAAAAAATGTTCAAATCTTAAGGGAGTCATAATAGTGACGACACCTCAAGAGGTGGCACTAATGGATGTGAGAAAGCAAATAGATTTTTGTGAAAGAGTTGGTCTGAAAGTGTTGGGAGTCATCCAAAATATGACCACTTTTTTCTGTCCCAACTGTTCTAAAGAGTCGACTATTTTTAAGCATTCAAAGAATGGAATGCAAGCGTTGCTCGAAAAGGAAATTCCAGTTTTGGGAACTTTACCTTTGGATCCATTGATTGGTAAATCTTGTGATGAGGCCATCGATATGTTTGAAGATAATCAGTCAAAAACTATTAAAAATTTTGAAATAATTGGAAATAAATTAATAGAAATATTAAATAAGTCTAATACGGATTAGTTTTAGTATAATTTAAACATTTAATTATAATTATACTGTAAATACCGAATAAAATTTTTATAAATAAATTTTTAACTTAAAAGTTTATTAAAAATTATGATAAAAGAAATCGATAATTATTTGTAATAGATTTTAAGGCCATTACCAACTATGTGTTTGTTATTAAAGTATAATTTTTATTTGTAAAAATTTTTATTTTATAATGACAACTGATTATATAAAAAATTACTACAAATACTGCGTTAAACTATTTTTATTTTATAACATTTATTTTTTAACATATTTACTTTGAATTTATTCAATACTGATATATAAATTATATAATACAAGACTTTTAAGCCCGTAATTACGGCCCGTTTTAATTAAATTAAATCATAATTTTTATTATAAATATTATATTTTTATTCAATGATATATTGAGACAATAGCGACAAATAATTTGAAATATTAGTTTTGAATTGTTATGAAAACTTTGTGAAAGTGTCAGATAATCTTAAACAGCGTCGGCGGCGATGCTATTAATTACAATTATCTGGTGAACAATACGTTGAATTAATAAGTGACCAAGATATATGGATAAATTTAAAATAAATAAAATTGTAATTGATCATTTTTTTAATTAATTGTATAATATGCTAAATAATTTACAGTCGACTGTTTAAAAAATTTATAAATGATAATCGACTGCATTTATCTGGCAAATCATACAATTAATTAAAAAATGACCAATTACAATTTTATTTAGTTTAAATTTATCTACAACATTGCCCTTGGTCACTTTTTAATTCAATGTGTTGATGACCATATAATTGTAATTAATATCATCTCCGCCGCCACTATTTAAGACTCTCTGTAAAAGTGTTGCCTATGTCTCACATAGGATATCAATGCTTATAATGTGTTTAACTGTGTTATGTTAATACATGTACTGTAGATGTATTGTATAGCTTACTGTAGTTCACAGTCACACACACAGTGCTAGTGCTATACACACAAAGCTACTCCTATGTGGGTGTCGTTAATAGTGTCGTATAATATATATTAATACACACTTAAAGCCACTCCTATGCGGGGTTCGGTAATGGGGGTCGCTTACTGTCCTTTATATATATTAATAATATTTAAATATATATACTGTATATATATTTAAATAAGTAAAGTATATATACTGTATATATATAGTATATATTATATTATATTRTACAGTATATAAAAATTGAAAATATATGCTTGAATATTTATATTATTTTTATTTCTTAGTTAATTAAGAGAAAATTTTACARTATTTAACAATCTTGACTATTTTAATGTAAATCACATATGACTTATCCATTATAAAACTATTTATTTATAATAATTAAATATAACAATAAGTTAGCAGTAAATATATTTTTAAATAATGAWTTTTAGAAAATATGCAAAATATACAATACAGTAGATATTTCTTATAAAACAACAAATAAAAAATGGGTTAATATAACTGTAAGCTCTTGTAATAGTCAGACAACACTTTCCACGCTTTTGGAGCCATAAACCCTTCTGGCGGTGCAAAACCTGTTTTGGCAAATGTCCGCATTTTGGTACCCGATATGAACTCATAGTCAGCACTGTTAGTCGGATCGTAAAAGTCCATTCTTTTGAGTTTCTTATTATAAGCGGCTACACGGAAAGGTATGATAACCAGATCATTTAATCCCGGAGCCATTTGCAGTACTTTCTGCCCGTGTGTAGGTTCGTATAGATCTTTACCGGTGTCGGGATGAGGCAGACCGGCCGGATCTCGACCTACGATATAGTATTTAGCGCCACAAACTTGACGAGCCTTTGCGTGCCATTGAACTTCACGCGGACCGGCGTATGACATCGGCGATGGAAATATAGCCAATAATGTGGTTTTCGGATCAAGTACACCATCATCGAGTACGGCCCGATGCTGTAGTATACGTGTTTTAAGTGGCACGTCGTCATCCTTAGTCCAACCACCCAATGGATGCAACAATAATACAGGATTTCGGTAGCCTTTGGTCAGCAGTTGGCGTCGGGTTTCTTGCATTAGCAATGCATGACCGTTGTGTATGGGATTCCGCAATTGAAACGCAAACACGGAATCGGCCTATTAATAGATAACACAAAAGTTAAATTTTTTCAAATACGGTAATTATCTAAAAATCTAAACTTACATTCATTTCCTTAAGTTTCTGTTTAATCTCTTGAGGGGATAAACGATAACAATCGAGTCCATCATTCCAGTGGACTCTTTGAAACACACGAAGATCACCACCCAATAACCAATTTCCCATTTGCACAATCATTTTGATATACGGATGTCCCGTATTGGTCGTCTTGAATACTGCAGCCATCCGTTCCTCTTTTCGGTGCTCATATATCTCAATATCTTCGAGAATGGCTACTAATTGATCGCCGTATTTGAGGGCAACATTTGTTTTGCCATTGAGACGTTCCTTATCCTCATCGCTAATGGCCAACACAATAGGTATGGTTTGATTTTTGATGCCCTTATCGACTAACAGTCCAAAGTTTATACACTGTAGGTATTCCCGTTCGCGCATAAATCCCTAAACAAACATAAATTATATAACAATTTTAAATTAGTGTTTATAACTTACTGTATGCTTTAATTATACATTAATACAATTTCTATAATTTAAAATAATGTATAATTAAAGCATACAGTAAGTGATAAACACTAAGTTAGTACTATTATATATTATATACTTTTAAAGGAGGCGCCCATCCCTCAGACAGCACTTGAATCCATTGCAAATCGACTTCAGTTATGTTAATTTGTACTAAACTATTGCTTAGAACTGTGTAATCATCTAATTTTGAATTTGGTATAAATAGTTCATTCATATCTGGTGTTAACTCTTTGGAAATGATTTTCTAACAAAAATAATTAGCGRTAAATAAATTAATCAAATAATATGTTTCAACAATAATTATTTTAGTTCACAATTAATTTCTAATCAGAAACTAATTATTAGATATTTTAATGTAAAAAATATTTCAATAAATAAAAATAATTATTAAAAATATAAATACATTACATTTTCAATAAGGAAATCTACAACTCGTTGTACGCATTCATCGATTGTCAGTTCATTAGTTTGGAGCCGCAAATCGGGATTTTGTGGACTCTCGTAGTCCATATCAATACCGGTAAAACAGGTCAGATGACCGGCCCGTGCCTTCTTATAAAGTCCTTTTACGTCTCGTTGTTCGCATACTTCAAGCGGTGTATCAATGAATACCTCAAAGAATGGCAAATCATCTTTTTTATGGATATTGCGGGCATTATCCCTGTCTTTACGGATCGGACTGATAAAACTGGTCAACACTACTGCTCCGGAATCTGCAAAAAGTCGGGCCACTTCTGCTATGCGTCTAATGTTTTCACTCCTGTCCTCAGCACTGAATCCAAGATTTGAATTGAGTCCTTGTCTGATGTTATCCCCGTCTAATGCATAAGTAAACACATTATGTTTGCACAGGTATTCTTCCAGTTTAAAAGCAATTGTAGTTTTGCCAGCACTGGAATAACCTATTAATGTTAATATTTATATATTATATTTATATTTATTTWATATTGAATTGAMTAAAATCTATATACCTGTCAACCATATGGTACATCCCCTGAATTCATTGCCCAATGTTTTAGCACGTTTAGCACGTGTAACCAAATTATCTTGATAAAACACATTTGAAGCCTTAAAATAAAATATAAAAATACAAAATATAACTAAGATATGAAAAAATAGTATAATATTTATTATCATTATAATTATATTATCATTAAAATTCTTATACATTACTTACTTGACTGTTTGAAACACCATTGACTTCATTAATATTTACATCAATAGGCATTTTATTTATTGATTTTAAAAAAGTATTCAATGTATTCAAAACTAAAGATTTTAAATAAACAAATGCTATTCGTTACTAATAATAAAATTWTAAAAAAAATAAATCTAAAAATACTTCATAAAATTGGATTACTATAAATATAAAATAAAAATAAATAATTTGTTTATTTATAATAATTAGTTTCCTATACTCTATATGCTGTTTAGTTAATTTTAGCCAAAATTATAACCGAATTTAATTACATTTTTATCATATAATTTTTTAAAAACTCATAATAAAAATAAAATTTTAATTAATCTAATATTATTTAAAATGACAAAACAAAACAAATATCTTACATATGTCTGATTAGTTAAATTTAGCAATGTACCATGATCATTGGATCATTATGTATTTATGTATTTATGTCATCAAACAATGTCAAGTTTTTTAAATTTCATTAACACTTAGGCTATACTTTTGTAATATGGATGCGTCCAAACAATTCATTAGATAGTATTAAACTAAATGATAATCAATATTAACCAATACATTAATAATTCAAATGATAAAACATTTTTTCAATATTTCAAATGGAAAAATACTAAACAAATATTGATTTTAATGAATTGTATATTACTATAGAATATAATAATAAACCATATAATGATGATCATATAAAAATTGTGAATATTTAATCATTGTATAAATAATTTACAAAGTTTACTGATTAACAACAATAATTTAAATTTAAATAAAAATAATCTAAATATTATTTTGATAATTTCATCAATACATATTAGTTAAATAAGTTAAATCCGATAATTATTCAATATAAGTAATGTAAGTAATTCTATGATTTTATAATATTAAAATTTGCTATTTTTTAGAAAAATTAATTTTAACTTAATATACAATTCATGCTAATATGACACATGTACCGTATATAGCAATATATTGCAATAGCAATATATAAATAAAAATTAATGTTTTATATAAAGATAATTACCTGATTAGAGAAATTGCTGTCCATTTATTATCAAATTTTTAAAACTTATTTATAAACTTTAAAATGATATACAGTATTTAACTTTATATAAAAATAAATAATAATAAAATAACTAGAAATAGACAATAAGTTTTAAACGGATTGCAACAAAAATCAATTTTACTAAACGATTAGTTAGTGAAGGGTAACGGAAATTATTGATTTAATATTTAATTTATGTAAAAACAAAACAGTCATTCATTAAAACATGTTTAATAAATAAACAGATGGAAAGTTCATTAATATAATATATATAATAGTATACTGTATTAATAAATTGTATATTTTGATACACATATAATACGTATGCTTGAAATATACTGTTGTGTTCAATATCTCATTTGAATTCAAATATAAAWTMATAAAATATTTAGTGAGTTGTCTAAAAACAAATATAAAAAAATTAAAACCAATTGGTAACCAACTTAAGATTTTAGTTTCCTATGATATATTATTAGTATATATATATTTTATTTTTTTTATAAATGTAACAATAAAATTAGCCCCAAAAATAAAAATACAGGAACTAAAATATGTATTATAATAAATTACTTTTCACTAACAATATTATAACGATTGCACTCATAGTAAACACAAAACACTGTCTAACTGAGCTCAACACTGCTTAATCCAAGTGCTGGCACTACAAGCCTCACAAAACACTAATGCTATGCTTTAGGATCTATTAGAAAGGGAAATGACATCAATTTGTGCTTATAGTCGATGACATACTCTCTTCAAATGTTATAAGTTTATACTTTTTAATTTGATAACATCTATATATATATAAAAAATATGTCATATCATTATCATTTTAATGATTCACAACTAAATCATATAATTGTATTATTATATTTAAAAGGAACTGGATATAAATGTACCAATATATAAATATATTCAATTTWATTGCTTTATTATTAAACATACTTTTATAAGTTATATTTATTAGAGCAATTAATACATTATCAAAATTTAAAAATTATTTAATATAAACTAATATAGTTTATAGAATATTTAAAAAATATATACTGTAATTATAAAATATAATTTCTAGTTTAAATCAAATATAAAATATATATTTTTATTATCTTTTATAAGGTGTAATAAATTCTAAAAATTTTGCTAAAATAATAAAAATATTTATAATTTTGTGTCAGACTGACAGTTATGATAAATTTCATTTTTACTATTAAGGCTTAAATTTTAAGCATTATTAACTTTAATAATAATATTATTAACAAACTTTAATGTAATTGTACTGTATGTATTGACACATAAATATTTATATGTATAAATGTACTGCATTATAAATCAACTATATTTTATTTAGTTTATATTATAAAAGTAAATTCAGACACAATATTATATAAATAAGTTATAAATTATTAACAAAATAAATGTATGCAATAACCTTGATTGAGGATTATTGCTATTTGATAATTTAATTTGTTTTAACTCAGAAAAAGTTAAAATAACATACGAAATGCATGATTATACGATAAAATGTGATAAATTTGTAATATTAAATTATAGTATGGTATTTACTAATAAGACATTTAAAAAAAACTAATTTTATAAATTATTCTAACAATGTTTGCAAATTTCTGATACAATTTAACAGTATATATATATCCAAATATACTGTAATTACTTTATTATTTACTGTATATTCTAAATATAYAAATATAATTTTTTGTATTTATTGCTATAATAATGATAGATAATTATTAATTCATATAATAATAATAATAATACAATATTTATAGTACCGTAAGAATAATAATATTTTAATTAATAATCATTTATTTTTAACTAACTATTAATATAAAGATTAAAGTTTTTTTTAAACACACAAATATAAAATAATATTATTGCTATAGATTTACTTATCATATTTATTAAATATAATATTAATATGTAATAGATTGACACAATTTGAACAATAATTATAAAGAAGAAATGATTGAATACTCAAGAATCGGGATTTAATTATTTAGATAAAACTATTGCAATATTTATTTATAAAAATAAGATAAATAGGATTTACAATAAAAACAATAATAATTGAAAACAACATAAAAAAATATGAAATTCTGTATAAATGCTAAAATATTTGCGATAATTACCTTAAATTTGAATGTTTAGACAAATAATAAGTGAATTATGAATTACTATATGAATGTCCAATAAATTGATTGAATATATTGAGAGTTCCGTCAATTTGAATGTCAGTCAATGTATTAGTATTAGTGTTATAACAGTATCGCCATTGAGTGCACTAATTGTTGGCATTCAATGATTGGTCGATACTATGAGTGACTCGAATGCGTACAACCGGTGCCTCCAATGTGTTCAATGCATTGCATAGATGTATGTGTTATATAAACCAAGTGTTTAATGAAAACATTATTATTGATACAGTTATATGGTTTTGGTGTCGACACCGATCCACAAGAATCTGACAGTCATTTCATTTGAATTGATATTTTTATTTAAATAATTTAATTGCTATTATATTTCGGGAATCAATATGTGCGGTAAGTTTCTTATTTTAATTTATATCATATTATATTTATATATTTGTTTGTATTATAAATTAAGAATATTCTGTAATAATTGATTAATTTAAATGTTATATTTAAAAATAATATATCTTTATTAAACTATATAAGTTAATTGATATAAATTAGATAACTAATTAATGGATTTATGAATTGTATTTTTTATGAATCAAAAATTATATAAAAATTAATAATAGTTTCGATATTACTTGAGATTCATTGAAATTTCTATATTGAATATCAGTAATAATTTCTATAATATAGTAATTCTTAAATATCTATATAATAATTATAATATTAATAATAATAATAATAATAATAATAATATCAAATATCTTAAAATATTGAATTTCTACAATTTTCTACAGATTTTTAGTATACAGTATATATAAATTTATATATAATGTTAACATTTTTAGATATTAGGTCATCGCTCGAGACATAAAATTAATTTTTGAACGACATGTTTGCCTTTAAGGCATATTTTTGAAAGTTTTTTGAGATAATTTTYCAAAAAATAATAATTCAGACAAAATTTTTAAGCAAAACATATTTTTAAATAAATAATCCGACAATTAATGTGTTTTTCATTAATATTTTATTCTGCTTTTATAAAAACAAGTTTATAAAAAAAATTTAAACAAAACTTTTGGTAAATTAATTATATTTATAATGAATATAGGGTTTAATTTCTGGTATCAAATTTCATCGAAAATATTTTTAGATTTTTTTTGCTGTAAAATCTAATTAATATTTTGTTATATGAATTACTGTTAGAAAAAGTAATTTAATTAATATGAAACACACGTTTATTAATACAGACGTATTAATATTAATAATCGATGTCTTATTAGTATTTATAATATTGAGGACAAGGAAATCAACAAAATCTTTAAAAATTATTCAATTCTTATTATTTTTGTGTCTAATCTAATAATTTTATTTGAAAATTTTTACTTAAATTAAGATTAAAACTTAAATAAATATCTTAACAAATTTTGAATGTCATTTGATTTATATTTTATTGTTAATAAATTAACATTTACATCAAAAACTAAGATTAATGGTAATTAAGTAATTTATATAATATCATTTGAATGCAGATTTTCTATTTGATTATATATTTATATTAAAAACAAGAAACATATTTTTAAAATTAATTTAAAAAAGTGACCCAATTTTTCAAAATTCATATTAAGAATATCATTGCATTTAACTGACAATAATATTAAATATCAATAGATTTTCTATTATATATTAATTTTATATAACATATGACAATCATAATTAACTATAATAATGAAATTTATTTTATAGGAATCTTTGCATATCTTAACTATTTTGAGCCCAAAACTCGTCGCGAAATATTGGAATTTCTTATCAAAGGATTACAGAGATTAGAGTATAGAGGATATGATTCCGCAGGTATTGTATGGTTTGGTTTGATTATATATATATACCTATTGGCGATGTTTTTTATTAATTACATAATTTTGTAATCATATGATAAAAATTTATTGATTAATTATATAACCAATTGGTAATTTAGGTGTTGCTTTTGACTTTGATGACGGCGCCATTGAGATTATCAGAGCACCGGGAAAAGTGAGAGTTCTTGAGAATGCCATTTGGGACAGAAGTGACTTCAATTTGGACCACACCTATGATGTGCACATCGGTATAGCGCACACCCGTTGGGCAACTCATGGCGCGCCATCCGAGTTCAATAGCCATCCTCAGAGATCCAGTGATAATAACGAGTTTGTTGTCGTTCACAACGGAATTCTTACCAATTATAAAGATGTCAAACAGTTTCTGGTATTTCATTTTAATTATAAAGAACAGTAAAATTTAAGTGAAATTAATAAAATTAATTTTATATTAAAACATATATAGATTAAAAAAGGGTATACCTTTGAATCTGATACCGACACTGAAGTTATTGCAAAGTTTGCGCACCATTTGTATAAAAAGCAACCAAATATCAAGTTTAGGGAATTAGTGGAACAAGTTATACAACAACTTGTATGGATTACACTAATTATTATTTATACAATTTTTTATTTAACATAACATAACATTACAGTTGAAATGTTTTTAATTTAAAAGGAAGGGGCGTTTGCATTGGTCTTCAAAAGTAAATACTTTCCGGGAGAATGTGTGGCCACCAGAAGAGGCAGTCCACTACTTGTAGGCATCAAAACAAAGACAAACCTAATCTCAGACCACATTCCTATTATTTATAGCAGTAAAGGTATGTTTTCATAGCATTTAATATCACTTTTATTTTTGCAAAAAAAACTTTGATTTTTGAATTTTTCCCAAAATACTAAATTTAATTAAATGAATGCAAATATATATATACAAACAAATACTGTTGCATGACATCTAAATAAAATGGGATTTTAATAAAAAATAGAGATTAAGAAAATGAGTTTAACGGCAAAGAATTCATTGGGTGACGACCGGTGGGAACACCGGTTGGCGGTTAGCCGTCAAAATAGCATTATATCTGATGATGACGAAGGTATTGATTGTTTGATTGCTGATCATATAATTATAAGTGTCATCACTGTTATATCGTTATAATTGCGGGCATTTTTCTCGACAAAATGTGGGCTCAATTAATGGGCCACAAATTGTTTCACTGTTTAGCCACTATTTTGTTACAATGATTTCATGTTTTATTTTATATTTTTGTGATTGCTTTATAAATATCCTTATATTGCTGTTTTTGTGAACCGATGACAATACTTGATGTTTGACAGACTCTAAAAAGGGATGTAAAGACACTGTTAAAGGTATATATATGCCTAACCTATGCTTTGGGTTTCGGGACACTTGCGGTTAAAAGGATTTCTGTCTGTTATAACTTATTAACTAATTGCATGACACTTATATGTTCAATCAAATTAACATATTAATTGTAAATTTAGCAATTAGTCTAATACTGACAATATTTGCTTATCAATAGATCTTCATCCGCGACAAAATGGTTTGTCGACCAATTCAGTTGTGGGCGGAAAGTTGGCCCGATCTGAGTCGACCACACAGTTTACTCCATTGAATGACGACAAAATGGTAGAGTATTTGTTTGCATCGGATGCCAGTGCTATCATTGAACACACCAATCGTGTCATATATCTGGAGGACGACGACGTGGCCTCTATTGAAGCCGGGTGTATGTCATGTGATATTTTATAAGCTTTATCTTAAAATTATAATTACTTTGATAAAAAATTTGCCTAATTTTAATATACTGTATAAGCAATGTTAAATAATATCAAAATAATCTCAAACAAATATTAGTAATCATACAAATTTTATTCAAAAATAATTATTGCTATTTTTTCTACATAAACAATACACAGTATTGTAAACAGATATTTAATTAGAAACATTACTTGATATAATGCATTTAAATTAGATTTAAATTATTGATTTAAATTAGATTTATATATATATATATATATATATATATATATATATTACATATACCGGTACATGTAATTTACAGTATATAAACAAAATATAATCATAAATTATATTATAGTTATCTGAAAGTGATATAAAATGTTGTTTTAATATTATGGGTATGTTATAGATATCGGTATTTATTTAATTATATTCTGTGATATCTACTTAAGATTTCTTATGTGTATTAATAGAATAATAAATAGAACCGAAAAGTTTGTCAAATTGTCGATAAAAAAATAGACGAATATTTAATTTAATTTAATTTATATTAAATTTATTCTTTTTTCTAAAATAATTATAATATTCTTGAAATGTATTGTAATTTATATAAATATTAATGATTTTATTATACATCACTAGTGTTGACAATACATCGACTTAAGCGTACACTCGATGACACATCACTGACACGAGAGATACAAACCTTAAAGTTAGAGATCCAGCAGATAATGAAAGGCAACTTTGACTCATTCATGCAGAAGGAGATCTTCGAACAGCCGGAGTCTGTCATCAATACAATGCGTGGAAGAGTCAACTTCGACAACAACGACACTGTTATCTTGGGTGGCATTAAGGACTATATTCCTGAAATCAAACGCTGCAGACGTTTGCTATTAATTGGTTGCGGAACCAGTTATCACAGTATTATTGCTGTTAGTATTCATTGATATAAAGTGTTATAGATTTATGGTTTTGTGGTTTATCTAAATTATATAAATTAAATACACAGACGAGACAGATATTAGAAGAATTGACAGAATTGCCAGTAATGATAGAGTTGGCGAGTGATTTCCTCGACAGAAACACACCTATTTTCAGAGACGACGTCTGCTTCTTTGTCTCACAATCGGGAGAAACGGCTGATACTCTGATGGCATTACGTTATTGCAAACAAAGAGGCGCTTTAATTGTTGGTATAACTAATACTGTGGGCAGTAGTATATGTCGGGAAAGTCACTGTGGAGTTCATATTAATGCGGGACCAGAGATAGGAGTTGCGTCCACTAAGGCATATACCAGTCAATTCATATCTCTAGTTATGTTTGCTTTGGTTATGAGTGAAGATCGCATCTCACAACAGCCCCGTAGGAGCGAAATAATACAGGGATTAAAACGATTGCCCGATCAGATCAAACAGGTTCTCGAACAGGACTGTCAGGTACTTGAATTGGCTAAAGATTTATATCAACAAAAATCTCTTCTTCTTATGGGTCGCGGTTGGAATCACGCAACTGTTCTCGGTATTCAAACAATCATATCTTCAATTACCATAATATTAACATATATTTATCTTTTACAGAGGGAGCACTGGTATAACAATTTGTTTTATTTTTATAATAAACTCTTTTTTAACTATTATAACTTACTTACCATTCAATCGATAGAAAATAAAAGAGTTAACTTATATGCATTCCGAGGGCATACTGGCCGGTGAACTAAAGCACGGACCACTTGCACTCATCGATAACTCTATGCCTGTCATTATGGTTGTCACCAGAGATCCTGTTTATCCCAAATGCATGAATGCATTGCAACAGGTGTTGGCTCGTGACAGTCGACCCATTATTATCTGTGAAGACAACGACACCGAAACACAGAAGTATAGCTTCCGTTCGCTACAAACTCCACACACTGTCGACTGTTTGCAGGGAATCTTAACTGTAATACCACTTCAATTGCTTTCATATCATATCGCTGTACTTCGAGGCTGTAATGTTGACTGTCCTCGAAATTTGGCCAAATCTGTTACCGTTGAATAACTGCTTATTTAAATATATTTTTTACTTTATAATTATTTTTTTAATTTTAAATATTTTTATTAATTTTATATCTAATTTTTATAATATAAATCATTTTAAATTATAAAATCACTTTAATTTTGATTTTCTTATATTAATTAAAAAAATAATAATATAATAATAGTTTATGATTTTTAATTTGTCACTTCATTACAGAATATAAAATTTATCACAATTTTTAGTAAATAGTTTTATTATTTAAGATATTTATTTACGATTTCCTCTTCAAACCATTTGATATCAATCTGAAGATGATCTCCAATAACTTCATACAAGTGAAGTCGTCCACTGATATCCAACTCTTTAAGTCCAATCCAATCTTCAGTATACAAAGTCGTGTCTTTCATTTTGTAGATATCCTGTGCCTGACCTGCGATATAAAATCCAAAGAGAGACGACTCCCGGGGCTCAACCATCGAGTCATTCAAGAACTTAACCAAAACAAAGTTCTTAAGCTTAAGAATGCGCTCTTTATAAGTGGTATTTCGGGGAATATTTTCATTGTTAATATCGGCTAAAAATATGTTCTTTTGTTTGTATAAATCTTCTTGAAGCGGGTCGTGCCAGTACTGCATGTCATTTACCATTCAATTGTATTATATATATATATATATATATATATATCAAATCAAACCAACCTCTGCCTGAACCACATGGTTTTGGATGTACTCTTCATATGCGCCATAATTGAGTAGTTTTCGGACCAAATCGCAGATATGGTTTGCTTGTGGACAACGAGGCAAACCATAAACTCCTAATAATGAGATAATTGATATCGTTTTTTGTGATAATAATAATAATCATTCAATACCCTGATGTTGTCCGCCCAAACTAATCAAATTCAATATCTTAATTGTTGGACATCTCTGTGCAATTGCTCGTATAATTTGTCCGCCCTGTGAAAAGCCAATGGCATTAAAGCCATTGGCCAGTCGTGTATCGGCCGTTAGCTGACGACAGGCTTCGGTCACCTGATCGTTAAGATTCATAAAATAACCGCTCATTAGGTCTTCGGCYGTATTGTTTCCCATACGGATAGACATGACATAAACGCCAGCAATCTTTGACTCCAACCACTTCTGCAGTGAATAAATACTTCCGTGCGATGTATCGCCCATTCCGTGATAAAAGACAATCGGTGTCGGACTCACATCAACCGTCGCATCGATTGACCGCAACTGTTGGCCAACAAATAACAGACAATAAATGACAAACACTGATAAACACATGATTGCACCGATCGGTCGGTAAATAAAATGTTAATTCATTGAGTGTTTGTCACAAAACAAATACAAATCAATAGCAAAACAAATAGCAATTCAATTGATATCACATTTCAATCAATTTATAAACAATTTTCATAATTAATGTAAACAACTAATCATTCAATCAATCAATCAATTGATACAAACTTTAAATATTTTATTATTTTTGTCATTAATATGAACACCAATAGAGAGCAATGATTGCAAACATATTATTCATTCATATAATACATAACAATATACAGTAGTAATAGATTGCATACAATATAGCAGTTTTGGTGACAAAAGGGGACACTTTAGACATTGTGTACACTATTTGTTAATATATTATACAATTACATGACTTTTGGCGCTATTATTGAGTAATAATTGAAGTCTTAATCAATATCTGACTAATTGTTTGATTGAATTCATTGTTTGGTTAATATTGTCATCAATTTGTGTCTTCATTTTGATCACCACATTGTCCACTGAGATGTCAAAGTCAAAGAAAAAGGGTCTCACTATTGATGAGAAAAGACACCGACTTCTGGAACTGTTTCACCAAAAGGTTTGCATTGAATGACAAAACAAGTCATTTGACAACAACTCATGTGTTTGTCAACAGAAAGATGTGTTTCTTCTGAAAGATTTGGAGAAATTGGGACCAAAAGAGAAGGGAATTGTTATGCAATCAGTTAAAGACATATTACAGTCATTAGTTGCCGACGATTTGGTCGAATCGGACAAAATTGGTTCGTCGACATACTTCTGGTCATTTCCAGCCAAAGCCGTCAAAACAGTTACTAATCTTGTGGTCAATTATTTTCAATTTTATTTCATTGTTTCTAATCTTTTTTAAAAACAGAAGAAACAAAAAATCAAAGATTTAAAGCAAAAGATCAGTGAAATTAAGCAAAAATCTAAAGAATTGGATATCGAGCTCAAGAAGTATCAGTTGAGTGACAAAGAAGCGCAAAGAAGGGAAAAGGCGTTGAATGAATTGCACTCTTTGGAGAATAAAAGAAATGAATTGAAAGCCAAACTGGAAGTGTTGAAGGATTGCGATCCACAGTTCATCAAACAATTGAACAAAGACTGTGAGGTTTCAAAAGAAGCTATCAATCGATGGACGGGTTATTTGATCACTTGTTTTGTTGATTAGTGAAAATTTATTTGAATTTTTCTGATTAATAGATAATGTGTTTCTTGTGAAGTCTTGGTGTAAACAAAAGTTTGGTATCGAAGACTCGGAACTTAATAAACAATTTTCGATTCCCGAAGACTTTGATTATCCGGAATAGAGTTGAAGTGACCTAAAGAAGTGATAATTAAATTTAGTAAAAATTATCGATAAATAACAAAACGTTAACTTATCCTAAATCTCTAAAAATGTGAATTTTCATATTATTTAACTTATGTTTAGTTATTTACTTATTTATTAATTTATTACAGTATTGTTATATATTATTATTATTAATATTATTATTATTAAAACATTACTACTACTACTACTACTGTTATAAACTAATTTAGATTTCTTTAAACTTTGCTAACCATATAAAACTGCATTATCATTGATAATATGTTTATTTACTAACAAATCAAATTAGTTATCATATGAATAATAGATAATTAGTCATTGTATTAATAATAACGTATTAAATATTTAAACACTTTGTAAATATCAATTAAATTACTTTAATAAATGTTATATGAATTTTAATATGAAATTTTTATATTTAAATTATCAAAATATAAATATTGAGTTATAAATACAATTATCAAATAGAGTGAATCCGGTTACACTATTTTGTTTAGCTTTGATTGAATTTATTGTTTATTTTGAAACTAAATGTTAAATGTTATAACACCTTATTATAATAATGTATGTATGTATGTATGTGTGCGTTATTAAACACTGTTATCTTAATACCGGTGAATTGAATGTTTAATTATGTAATGAAGTGTTGGTGTAGAGCACAGGCGCACACATACCTCTTGAAAGGATAGCAATGGTTAGAAATGAGGAAAGCAATTGACAAATAGCCTTATCTTTTACTTTTGGATGAGGCCTTGTGTTTGAGGTAATGCCAAGTGAGGCAAAGGAGCAAAAAATAGTTGCATTTTTCACATTTTATAATAAGCTCTAAACTGAGAGTACAAGTGTTGGCACGAATTCCTGTGAAATTCGATATAATTGTGCAAAAGTGACGTTCCTTTCAATGTTCATAATCATAGACTAAATTTTGGGCCAAAGTTTATGCGCCATCAATGCCATCAATGATTCCTACGAGTGAGAGCCCTACCGGTGCTGTCGAGCATTTGCTATCAGATGTAAGTGACTTTGCTTTTGGTTTGATTGAAAAAGTTTAACAATTAAATGGTTAACTCATCTCTAATGCAGACCACAGACTGGACAACAATGCTTCTCATATTTTGGGTGTTTGTGGCACTTGTTGTCTACTGTGTCGGCAATATTCTTGTAGTTGTTCTCAACAAAAGACGACAAAGTTTTGCCAAAATTAGTAATGAAATTAAATATAAGGATATTGTTAACGAAGATATCAACAAACAAACGGTTGATTTGCAGCAAAATGTCAAACCATTGCAACTGAATAAAGCTGAGGGACCGGACAGGTATTGTGTCGATTGGATTAACAAAATAATTGAATGGTTTTCAATGCAAAATGAGACGATTCTTGAGTCGATTTTTAATGTTTGGATCACTTCTTTAAATAATAAATGCAAAAAAATTTCAAATGATGTAAGAAAATTTGCCAATTATTTTATTATTAATTTTATTTTCACTGAATATCACCTAAAATGTAATTTTTAACTGTCTATTATCTCAATTTATTTATTAAATTTAAATTTAACATTAAGTACTTTATTAGTTTTCATATAATAAGCGAAAAAGTTTCGTTTATTTATTTAAAACTTATTTCTTTTAATTATGTTTTCAAAATTATGTTAAAAATCTAATTATAGATAAAAATATTAAGAGATTTTAAAACACTTTCTTTCTGTGAATAAATCATTTTATCTATTTTGAGAATATATTTTGTACAGTATTTTACAGAATATTTTTAAAAGCAAATAATTTTATATAAAATAAATATAATTAATTTTATCGCTTCTATTTTAAAATAAGTAACAGTGAATTTTGCTAGATAATTTAAATATAGAAAGTAAACATTATTTTAGATGTTTTATTTAATACTTCAAAGTTAATAATAATTTTAATAAAACTATTGAAATAATTAAATATTAGAGCGGAATCTCAATTGAATTTTGTGGGATATGTCGGGACAYAAATTCATCACCAGAAGTGACAAACATTGTTGTCGATAAAGAGTCCAACGATAATATTGTAAGTTTTTAATTAATATTTTATAATTTTAATTAAATTTTAGTTAAGCATTATATAATGCTGTTATAGTATGTATATTTCTAAATTTTTAGTAAACATTATTATTTGTTAGTAAATATTATGATTATCATTAAATATTTTAAGTTATCTCATTTTTACGAGTCATAACAACACTAATATTAATTGATATATTAATATAATACCTGTACTGTTAGCTAACATAAATAAAATAAGTAAAATTAATTTAAATCGTAATTATAAACAATAAAATTTGTGGTTTTTAGGTTTTTTTTAAAGAGGTGAGAATTAATAATTAAATAATTATATTTTTATATAATTCCCAAAATATATAATAATACAATTTTTATGTATATTTCCTTGAAAAATTGATTTTTAAATTAAAAGTAGTAGTAGTAGTAGTAGTAGTAGTAGTAGTAGTAGTAGTAGTAGTAGTAGTAGTAGTAGTAGTAGTAGTAGTAGTAATTGTAGTAGTAACAATGCAAGTAGATTTTTTGAAAAATATTTAATTGAGATCAAATTGAGTAAAATTATAATTTTGTAAACATAAGTTATAAAACAATGATAAACCCATAAAATTTATAATTAAATTATATTTTATTGAGTATTAAATGCAATGGATTATTTATTTTACAAATTACTGTTAAATAAGTGAGTGATTTATTAAATATACATTAATATGTTTAAAAATAGATATTATTTAAAGAAATAAACAAAAATTGATAATATATACAGTAGGTGTTTCTAACTATTATTAAGTTATATAAACTTTAAAATAAAATAATTACGATTATTAAAACAATATTATTTAACAAAACTTTGAATACATTAAAAATTTATAAGCGTTGAAATAATGGTTAAATTATTTTTATCATTTGAACCATTGATGCAAATCTGTTAACAAAAAAAGTATCTTAAAATAATACTTACTTTATTTGCAATGAACTCTAAACAGTGAAAAACTTTTATATTAATGCAATCGAAAAATAGCTTATTTTAAGAATCTTATCCTTGACTTTAAGGAAAATTGCAATTTATTATTATTATTATATTATAATATTATTTAATAATTTCCTTCTCTATCACATACGTTGTCAGAAAATATGAAATGTTTTACTAAATTACTTATAATTTTAAATAAGTAGTGATAATTGACTTTTATAAACAATTAATTATAACTCTAATTAAAACAATTAAAAACAATTGTAACATACATTTGAGTTTATAATAAATTAAAATACTATGATGGAAAATTCAAGAAAATTGATTTTTGAATTTAAAGTTTAAAATAAATATAATAAGATACTAATTAAATATTTAAGAATAGTATTAAGATAATAAAATCTATATTATTATTTTATCTTTACTTGTATTACTTTACTGTTTTTTTGTTGTTTTGTCAATTTATCAATAAATTCGTGATATTAAACAAATTAAATAATATATACTATAAAATTAAATAATTAATCAAAATAAATTCATTAATACATTAAAAAATTACAAAAAATAATCAAAACATTGACGAGACAACTTAAATAATAAAGTAAAAAAATTAATAAATTATTTAAATGAGTTTTATATGAAAGCGAGTTTTGTAATGTAATAAACATTTATGAATGGGTGTTGTTTAGGTTGCTATCAGTTATTAAGCAATAAACGACAATAATATTAATATTTATTTGTTATAATTCTGTTTATACAAAGTATTTATAAATTAATTTTTCATACTTTAATATTATCTATAAAAATATGTAATACATGACAATAAAAAAATAACATTTCTACAGTTTATTATTGAAAACATTCACGTTATTTAGTAATAATATAAATTTAATAATAATGTGAAATAAATTCATTGCAAACATATCATATTGTATTAAAACAAAAAGTTTGAATCTATAAACTTATGAAACTACTAATCAAATTCATTGCTGTATTTCAATCAAAACAATTTCATCCTTGATTTTTTAAAAACACAATTAGAATTTAAAAATTAAAAATATATTCAATACTTGATAAAAATTAATTTTTTTTGATTGATTTGATATTTTATATTGTGTAAAATTATACAAAAATTTTTAAAAAATATTTTGTTAAGCTTATATCTAGAATATAAAATGTTATAATAAATATTTATAAATGTTGTCTGAAATATAATTTTTAATTTTTGATTAATTTTCCGATTCATGCGATTGACAATTGAAATAATTTAAAACTCGTAAATATTGATAATATTTGTATAGTTCAGTGACTTTTATAAAACCAAAATAATATAATTTATATAATTCGTTATATTTAACGGTTGTTATGTTAAAATTAATTAAATAATTACTTTAAAAACTAAAACAATAACAAAATATTATATTTAAATACTTTGATAGAAAAATACTGTACAAAWTGTTTTTTTAAACAATTTATAATTTTAAAAAATAATTATATTTTACTGTATCTGTTGGTACTATTAGTCTATTCACTCTTATGAATGGTTTGTTTATTATGATTGGATTGTATTTAATATACTTTCCAATGATATATATATCACGTCTTTCTATATTTTTGTTATTTAAAGTTATAGTACTTTTAGTGGACGTATTAAATATCCGAGATTTAATGCACTGTATTGTACAATAAATTTTATATTGTATTATACAATTTGTATATAATTTATATCACACACATAAATATAATTTATATACCGCTATATTAACAATTTATACTTATAATAGAGATGGGYAAATAAAAATTTTCTAATAAATTCCCTAAGAAAATTTTTAGAAAGTTTCTTAGGAATAAATTTCTATAGAAATTTTACTTTATCATTATACTATGGGATCCCCATATCTATAGCTATTGTAATACTGTACTAACGATACATAATATACACTACAATATTAATGGAATTCTTATTTATAAAATTAATATAATTATCTAATTATAGTTTTTGTAAAATTATATTTATAATTGATTTATATTTTTAGTTTTAATTAAATGAATTATTTTTTACTTTGAACATTTATTAATATATTAATAATAAAATTTAGTTAATATTTATAGTTATAATGAATTATTTCAAGATAGCAAATATTGAGAGAACAAAATTAATAAACAGAAATTTTTTTTAGAAACTTTCCAAAATTTTTTCTATTATTTTAGAAATTTCTCTTTTTGCCAACTCTAATTTATAAACAAAAATATTACTTATCATTAATTAGTCTTGGTACTTTTTTAGATCTAATTATATTTTTTATTTTGCAAAAAACACATTTAAAAATGTTTGAATAGCAAATAGAGATTATTATGCGTTAATATAAATATAATATTATATTATGACATAATATAATCGGCTTCTATTTACAGTACCATTAATTACATTAAAAAACATTTAAATAAATTTGGATTATATAAATATTAAACTATTTTAAAATATTTATCATATCAAATATATTAGTAATAAATACAATTTTTTATAACCATTTGATAACAATAATAATTTAGAAATAGTAATATACATAATAATGCTGTATATAAAATAAGATATTTGAATCAATTTAATATAATTAATTAATTAAAAATAATTTAATAATATCCACCAAAACAGGCCGTTAACTGTAAAATCTCAACGAAAGGCATTAAGTTTTTGGTGAAAGTGTTTCGCGATAATGAAGAGCTCATGCAATATGAACTTCAAATGAATAGATTTGAAGGAATGGTAATTAATAAACAATTTTTTATCATAAAATAAATATTTTTTATTTATAATATAATTGAATTAAATAAACAAAAACAATATCAACTCATAGGTAAAGATTGTTTGCATTAGCGAAGAGTTACTTTTTGTCATCAGATTTGCTGAAAGACCTGATTTTAAGGCGAGTCTCAAACCAATAAAAGTTTTGCAAAGTCAACAACAGGTAAATTGCTTTTAAGTTATATCACTTGTTTACTATAAGCTAAATATAATTGATATAAGCTATCAATGACTATCAAAAAAAATTGATGTATCTATTATTGTAATGTTTTATTAGATAACTTATTTCAAAATAAAGATGTCTTAATAATATGCAGTAAATACTGTTTAATCATTTCCACAAATTTTATAACAAAAATATTTTAAGTATTTAATACTATTTGAACATTCCTTTGTTTATATACAGTATACTTATAATATATATGTTATTATTAATAGTCAAAACTGTTTGACATTTATCTAAAACATTATTACAGAATCGCATTTCTGAAGATTTGATAATAAACTCAATATTGAACTCAATTTCGACGACAGTTGTCGATCTGTGTCTGTCCTCATATCATGGCTTTCCTCAGTTTAGAAGAGAAGAAAGTCTTTCAAAAACCACTTTTGTTAACTTTGAGTGCAAACCTAAATCAGTTGAACGAAAATTGTTTGTTAAAGTAGTTAAAGCAAACAGTTTGGCCAATAATAAAGGTTTGTTTAATTTACTAATATATATATAATATTATTTTAAATAATTGATATTTATGTGACAAATATATAGGTATTTACGATCCGTATTGTGTTATAGAAGTGGATGAGCCCTCACAACAGGCACAGACATCAACCATAAAGAACACGTCTAATCCCGTTTGGAACGAACACTTCATTTTGTATGCTTTCCATTATATACAATATACTGTAAATATATATATATATATACAGTATATCCAATAATTTTCATATTATATAACTTATATAAGAGATATACTATTTATAATTATCAAATATTCTACAATATATTGGCTCATAAATAGTATATATCAACATACCTGTATACTAAATAATTTATATATTTATTATATACTGTATATATGTATATCACTTAATGTCAATATAAATATCTATTTTAATATGTTTATCAAAATCTTGTGACAGTAATTTGAAAGAAGAATCCACTGAAATATTATTTGAATTATATGACAAAACAAATGGTATTTTTACTATTTTTTATCATTTTTGCTATTTATTTAAGTAACATAAGTAACAATAAATTTGTTAATATCTTTTAGATAAGTTTCTCGGTTTGGGAATCGTTAGCGTAAATGAATTGAAACGAAATCCCAGTCAAAATCAAGTGCTTAAACTAGAGGCCAGACCTTTGGAGTCGGATATCATATCGGGAACACTTGCCGTTGAAGTCAGTTATTATTGATAGTTTGTTTTGTCAATTAGTTGCTAATTATATATTTCATTATGATTTTAGTTTTTATTCATTGAACACAATAGCGATACATCTGATTCAGAGTCGGGATCACCTAAATATACCACTGTTTCAACTGATATAACAAATTTACTTAAACCTAATGGAAATGCTGTAAAACATAAAAATAATAAAGGTTAGTATTAAATTAAATTTATATTACATAAGTCTGGTAATTAGCAATAGTAAGCATAGCAATAGTGTAACTGCTTTTTTATGATAAGCTAAAAATATAATTTAGTTTAAATAAATATTTTATAAAATATGCAAAACTTATTATTAGTTTATGAACTGTACTAAACAAAGTATCTAATAAATAATTAATTAAAAGCAATATACTGTACTATTATATTATATTTTAGTTGATTAGTATTGAAAAGTTTAAAAAAACAATTTAAAAATAAAACGCTTAATTAATATTTGCTATAATAGATGTGCCAATGATTTTAAATAGTGTTGATTTGGAGACTAACTGTGACTCTGACGCCAATTGTATTAAATCGGATGTAATTGAAGAACAAAGTAATTAAAAATTGCATAAAATAATAGTTACAATGTTTTTATACAGTAATGTACAGAATGTCAAACTATATTGTAATATCATATATAACTAACAGATAATAATTGCTTGACTGAAACGCCAACTATGAGTTTACAACTTTGTGATCCATTACAAGACAACAGTTCCAACAAAAATCCGTTTATTGAAAGTAAAACTAATGATTTCGTCAATTATTTCAATCAATTGCATGTGATTAACAAAAATCCATTTCTTAATGACAAACAAATCAATAGTATTGAGAGATCTGTTTCATGTAATGACATACCAATTGTTATACCAGTTATACCTCCGCTTATCACTCGCTCACAAATATCTACATATCAGACACAACAAGAAAGTCATGTCACGGAAATGCCATTACAACCAGACTTTAAAGGAAATCCTTTTGACATTTTAAATGTTTACCGAAAAAACTTTTATACGGTTCCCACTTATAGTATTCCTTCACATTTAAATCATTTAGCAAATAATACCCGAGAATCGCCACTTAAAGCCATTTCATTATCTAAACCAATACTTATTTCTCAAAATAAACAAAAGGAGATAGAAATAGAAAAATTAGCAAATAATGGTCTTAACTATACAAATGCTAATATAGTCTCAAAACCAAACCGTTATTTATTAAAATCAGTTTCATCTATAGATTCAATGCTAGGAATAGAAAGTGAAGACTCTAATAATGAAGACAATAACAACAGTGATGTCACTCTCACTGATAATACACAACAATATAACTCAAACATTATTATTGATAATCAAATAGTTTTCAATGACACTATCAATAGAAATCATAGTTATAGGAAAAATGTTAAAAATAAAAGTAATCACAAATTATTGCCGAAAATTTTTATTAATGCTAACAGACATTCATTTAAGCAAAACAAACGAAGAGATAGTAAATTACAAAATAATTTAATTAATGACTTAAATAATGACATAATTGTTAAAAATAATATGAATGGTGATGGCCTGGATAACTTGCATGATTTGCATGTTTTTAATAAAACAATCGGTATTTAAGTTTATTATCAACAAATTTGTTGATAATTTACGATAATTGTGGTCTTATCTTATAGTTAATCAAAATGATATCGAGTTTGGATTAATTGAAAGTTATGCGGATAATAATAGCACAAACAAAAACAATCAAACAATTCATAGCACTTTAAAAGTAAGTATTACTTAATAATTTAGTTATTTTATATTTTAATTGTTTATTAGTCAAACTTTTAAAATTTATTGCATAATAAAATTTATATTATGTTAAGAGATTACAGTAAATACAAATGACATTAAGCATAACTAGTCAAGGATTAAATCAAAAAGAAATTGTTGTTAAAATTTTTAGTTTTAAAAGTGTATTTAATAAGAATATAATTACCTATATATGTATGTAATTGTTATTTTTAATAAATATTTATTAATAATTTTATTATTTGAYAAAACTTCAGATCCCAGAAAAGGGTAGCAGTGAAGGCTATGGCACCGGAAGGGGAAGTCCTGATAATCCGTCCATTAATGTAGAAAGTGGTGTATCATCGAGTAATTCGACGATTGATACCAAAAGTAAAACATTCAGATATTTATAGTTATTTACTTTTATGAAAGTCTTACAAACAAACATTATATTAAATATATTTTTATTTCTAACACAAAATATTATCAAATTTGTGCCAAAATATGTGTTATCTTATAGCGAGTCGATCGCGATCTAAGGAACCGCGAAATATCATTAAAAAGATTAGAAAAAGGTTTAGCTTTAATAAGAATAGATCCAAATCTATGGAAATCAGAACTAATAAGGAAAAGGAGACAACCAGTCGTGACAGCTCTGTTAGCTCCACCTCAAGTAGAGCCCATTCAATGCCCGGTTCCCGTGAACCGTCCGCACCTAAAGACATCCAAAATGCACTTTTGGCTAAACGTATAAATATTATTAATGTTTATCATATAAATAATTATATTTATTATAAATTTTGCTGTGATTTTTTGTTTAGAAGAAATAAATAAAACCAATAGTTATGGCAATATTAGTGAAATAAGCGGTTACTCTACCCGTACTTTCGTTCACGAAAAGTCTGCACTAATTGTTGAATCAAATGAAATGGGAAATCTTAAGTAATTTTATTTGTCAACTCTTCATATTTGTTACTAAACTTATTATTATTTTATGATTATTTAACAGACACTATGCTATTCCCATATCTTTGGCCCATAAAAACAAATGGCGAAAAAAAGGCACAAAACTACATCTATATAATGATCATCTATTTGTGGCCAAACATTTATCCGGGTATTTAAAAAAAATTAAAAATAGATGTAGGCATTAGTAACTCATTTGTCTAATACTAAATATTTAAAAATATATTGATTGCTATTTGAATTTATTAAAACTAAGATCTAATGATAACTATGATAATATATATAAATATGAATTGTCGACATAAACTTATATGTGATGACAAATTTATCATGAGTTTGATAGTTAAGCAAATTTTGTTTATGCTATTAATAAAAAGTCTTAAAATTTGCCAAAATATCTATCAATGAATAGACGACTATTACTTAAATCATTTCATATACTTTATTAATAGGAGAGTATGTGTTGAAAAATATGATTGTATTTACAGATCAATTACGTGTGAAGTTTGTGGAAAACTATTCTCACGAAGACCAGGAAAACAAGGCTATCAGTGCAGAGGTATTAACAAAATAAATGTTTTAAATGATTGCCATTAAGTAATCAAACATTTAAGTTAAATAACATATAAAATATTTTCTTTAAAAACCATTAGACTGTGACTTCATGTGTCATAAGAGATGTCATATTCAAGTTGACAATAGATGTACTAAAAGCAGCATTTCTTCATTAAAACTCGAGTACATAACCGATCCAAAGGCTAAATCATTGGAAATAAACAACAAAAAAGAAGTTAATGACAAACCATTTGTTGAAAGTTGATATMAATTATGAAACAAAAACTACTTATTTTATGTATTTTTGTCAAATGTGTAAAATTTTCCACATATTTATTGACCAATCAAAAGATAATTTTGAACTTAAATAAAAAATTAATAAATTTCTGATAAAACATTTGTTATATATTATAGCATTATATAAAATAATATTTATAAAGATTAATTATTTTTAATTTCTCTGTATTTTGCATTTATTTCCCATGAATTTCTGTTTAATTTCAAAATGTCATTAATTTTGTTTGGATTGCTTATTGGTTTAATAATATAAATACATTTTTTTGTTAATTTTTACTATTTTATAAAAAATAATTAGATTGTTAAATATTAATTAATTCTAATTATATTAAAATATAATATGCTATTTCAATTATATTTGTTTTTATACTTTTTTGATTTTGTGTTACATATTAAATATATATTTAAATGAATTATTAGAAATTTAAAAATAAATTCTTATTCAATTTAAACAGATATAAGTTATTTGCAAATTGCTATTACATTAAGAGTAAATAAATATATAATAAACTAGATTTTGTGCTATTTTTAACAAGAATTTATAGAATCTATTATCTGCTAAATCGCTAAAAATGAGAGACATTGGAAAAATATGTTTGAAATCAAGGTTTTGTATTTAAAGACTTAAACACAACTTATAAATTCAAATTAGTTTACAATAAAAAATAATTCTAATATTAACTATTGAATTATTTTTAAATCTATTACTAATTTTAAATACAGTACTATATTATACCGTATATTGTACTTATAGTACTGTACTATAGTACCGGTATTTATCAATTTAAAAGTCAAACTAATGCACAAATTTAAAAATCTGTTGATAAAATCTACATATAATATACATTACATTAAATACAATGGTTTGTAATAATATTATTTTTATATAAAATAATACCTGTATATGAAAGTTATACAATATAGTATATTTAGTAAATAAATATAAATAGTTATTTATAAATTTATATTGTAAATATTATATAAACATAAAAAATTTATGTTAACTAATTTTGATTAACTTTGAAAAATTGTTAAACTATAATACAATATAATTGTAACAATAATATAAATTTAACAATATATAATATAATTGACGAATTTTTATAATGTTATAAGAATTATATTTAATGTCAATGTTTTATAAACATTTTTAGTTTGTAAAAATTGTTTTCATTATTTACAATTTATTAAAAATATACAAATACAACATAAATTCACTTTATAATACACTAAACAAATTTATAATTTTCTATCAATGATTATTTAAAATAGTTTACTTTATTAATATAATAATTGTGAAACAAATAAATATTATGTAAGCAAATAATTATTATTTTTATATTTCATTAAAATATTTTTTAACCAAAAAAGAAAATTTAGTACAAGAAGATCATAATAATCAGATTTTTAAAGAATTTTAGTAAATTATAAATATTTTAGAAAAGATTTCTCAATTTATCTATTTATATAAATATATAGATTTTAATATTTTTATTATTTGTTTACTATTTTACTATTTATTATATACTGTATAGTCGTAAGTTTTAAATAACTTAATTTAATTTTATAACATATTAACATTAAAAGTATTAGTTTATTATTATTTGTAAAGTTATATGAATTATGTAGTAATTTGTAAAGTAAATAATAAAATACATAAAATAAAAATACTTTATATAAATTTATATACATAACWAATATTTATGTTTAATTAATTTTAGTAAAAAACTTACTTTAAATTGAAAACACTTAAAATTACAAAACTAGTGAATTGGTGTACGATATGGATATGGTTTGGGTGTCTAACATCACATCAGCACTAATAGTCTTATAGTTATTGAGACTAACAGTGCTGTAAGCAATACGAGAGGTTTGGACGGGAATATAATAACACCCGATATATGAGGAAATTGTTTATAATTTGTATTTTTTAATATTGAAATTTTATAATCTAAACAATTATATGATAAACAAAAATAATTTAGCTGTAATAACTATACCCAAAAAATTAGGTTTATTTTCTATACGTGTAAAGATAATTTACGWACTGTATATACACTACTGTATAATAATTATTGATAAAATTATATCAATAGTAAATAGCATATACTGTAGAATCAAAAATTTATATACAGTATATAAAGTAAATATATACGTATATTATATATTGATTATAATTATAATTTAATATATTGATATATAAATCAAATAAATTTATATATAATTCAATAATAATAATTGGATAAATTTTGTCAAATATGATATGATATTGTAATCGCAAATATTTTTACAAAAATTATATAAATAAAACAAAAAACTTTAAAAACAAAGTTCAATTAATCAAATTTTTGATTATATTGTAACGTGGCTTCGGGTGGTGTGGTGTCGGGAGGGGGTTAGGTTAGGGTTAGTTTTAAATTAGTTAAAAAAATACACAATTAGTAGTTATAGTTAGGTTTTATTGTAGCACAAAATATACAGTATAATAATAATACAACAATGATGTGTATAGTGTAGAGGTTAGAATAGAAGTCCCTTTTTAAGTAATTGTTAGTTTATTATATATAGAAATTATAGGTAGGAATAGGTAGGTGTGGGTCAATCCAAGTGACCAATAAGGACATCCAGGGGAGGGGTAAATATCTTACAACTCTTCCCTGGTATATAAAAAAGCTTGTCCCTAAGCGACGTTATTTATGTATGTATGTATGTATGTATGTATGTGTCTGACATTTAAATTTTTTTTTCATTTCACATGTGTTTGTGTTAGTGAACACACGTTTTTTTTAAAAAATTAATTGTGTTTAATGTAATAATAATAATAATAATTTATATTGATTTAATTTAAATTCAATTTTTGTGTGTGTGCGTGTTTGATATTATTATCAATTTAATTTTTTTTTTTTATCAAATTAAATTAATAATAAATTTATTTAAATTTTTTTTTCATCCAAATGTAAGTATAGATTATTTATTTTATATTTCCTTTTCTTTTTTGAATTATTTCATTTAATATATATATTTTAAACTAATTTGATTATTTTTTTTTTTTTTCTTTGTTTTGTGTTAGTGTTTACTTCGGTAAAAATTTATGGCTTCGCCCTCGGGTAGGGAATCGGGTAGTGGTTCGGGTACCGATGTTTTCGGTGGACAACATCCCGGATGCGACATGAATCTGTCGTCGGCTGAGGAGACCGGTGCTAACGCCGCCCGAAAAGTGTTTCGCTCTCGTAGAGCACGAAGTGGTGCGACATCGCGTGTTGGACGCGCTATTTCCGGTGTTTTACCCTCTGTGCCCACTAATTCTTCCGGCGGACGTGGTTCAGGTGGGAAGGCTCGTCGATCCCGTGGAGGAGGTGTCGACGCCCGATCGTTGGCCGCACTTCGGGATTTGCATGCAAGTGAGGCACGAAAAGCTTCTGCTTCTCAACCACTTACTCGTCGTGGATCTGCTCGTGGCCGGTGTAGCCGTGGTGGGAATGTTACCGGTAGAACTCGCGGTACATCTACTACAGTTGTGCCTATCTTGACGCCTGATATCCCTAATTCCAGTGAAGACGATACCATCGAAGATAGCGACAATTTTTCAGTAATTATTACTTCGTCTTAAGTCTTCTTTCATTCATTTTCTTTATTCATTTTCTTTTATTTGTTTTACTTAGCGTTTCGAGTCGGAGTCTGGTGATTCGGTTTTCTCAACCGATGCCAGTTATTTAGAAGAATTTATCATCCATTGTAAGGGTGAGTGGAATTGGCGTCTTTTTACGGATGTTAAATATCGGCCATTTGACATCCGCCGCACTCGACAATCACAGATGACTCGACAAGACGATGAAGAATTTGAATCGGGGGATGAATTCGATGTGGATACCATAATAGCCACTTTTTCATACCCTAATTATGGTAAATTTGTTCTTCTTTATTGGATGAATTTTAAGCAGCCGACCATCGAACCATATGAGAATTTCGTCGATAATCCTCTTATGATTGCTTTTGAGAATCCCAATGTGAGTCATACGGGTTCAGGTTCGGGCGCTTTATTAAGTTCATCTTATTTACCATTATCAACTGGTAAATATTCGATTATTTTAAATGAATTTTTAAACGCGTTGGCAACTCGTGGACTCTTCTCCTTCTTCTGCGGTTTTCTAAGGTAAGGTTTATTTTTGGTTATATTTTATTTAATATTTTCAATGACATTATTTTTTATTTAGCATAAATTCCGATCTGGCCCATCAACTGGAACTTGAATTTCTTATGGATCTTTTCCAACGCTTTCGGCCATTTCCTGATGCGGTTCATGTTCATCAGGGTATTATCGGTTGGTCCCAGAGTACACTTTCGGCATATAATAATCTGCCCAAAAAATACCAAGACTTTGTTACCTTCAGTAAGAACAAAGCACTGACAATTATCCGCAATTGTGTCCGCTCCAACTTTACGCGTTCATTGTTTGTTGTTTTCCGTGTGTCCCAAGTCATCGACTCTTCGCGTACCTTTCATTCTGGCCTCTTAATCACTGATGTTACGGATAAGACCATCACTTGTAAGTTAAATCTAGTTAGTCTTATTAACTATGTGAAATTTATTAAAATTTATAATTTAAAAAAATTTTTTAGACACGTATTATGATCCGTTGCCCGCATCTGAGGCTGTTGGTCGTCTTCCTCCACATGTCTTAGATGCCATCAAGTCGATAAGTCGTGTCCATAAAGTTGTTAGAGTGGACCGTATTTATGGTGAACAGGGGGCAGCCAATGATTGTGTTTATCGGGTTTTGCGATTCTTGTCCGCTTTGTTGGATGGCAATGATCTCCAAAGTTTTAATCCAATCAATGTTCCTGATTGGCATAAATAATACTCAACTTATTTTGATCTAATAAATTTTCTATATTAATTATATCCTGGTTTTTTTTTCAAATTTTGTATAGCATATATTTATACTTAATTTTAAATAAATTACATTATTATTTTGAA